AGGCCCTCCCTCACCTGTGCTTTTCTAGAAAACCTGGATCTAATTTGTTAAAAAAGGGGGGAAGAGAGCAGGGGGGACAGCACAATAGCACAGATTCGGCATTTAGTAATATAAATGTAAATACAACCCCTTGCCAGCAATTCTTGTAGGAAGTACGCATGTGTGCAAAACGCAATGATTTCTTCCAAGATACTGAAGGACAAAACTGAAATGAAGGGTGACAAGAGTGCTGGGTCTGACAACACACTAAGAAGATTAAGAGAATTAGAGAACATGCAGCAGATGGGCTGATGTCAGTAAAGAAGGCTGGATTTTGCCAATTTGATTCCCAGATCTATTACACTGCTGTGTATTTCAGGAGGTACATCTCAGAATAGACTTAGCATCTATAGTTCAGAGGTAAGAAGGCAGCTACATTCGATTAAATTCCAGAGCAGGGATAGATTTTTCTGCACTCAGTAGAAGTGCTTAAGGCATGACATACCACAATGCAAAAAGTGGATTACAAAGGTAGAAGACAAAGCAGTGAAATAAAATTGCAATAGACTACAGTACTATTCCTTATCAAAGTGACCTCCTGAGTTGTTCTATTTTGCACATTCCACAAAGCACAAGCCACCACACAGAACGTGTGTAAACAGGCAATTGCTAATGTTAACCATTTGCAGGGTGGCACCTTTAGAAGACTTTGACAAGTGAAGCTGTTGTGGGATAGTTAGCAGGATAGGCAGTCCTGAAGTTATGTGGATCCAAGGCCATGAAGGGCTCTGTAGGTGATAACCAGAACCTATGACTGGTCTAAGGACCATAACAATAGACTGAACTGATAACCAGAACCTTGAACTAAATCCAGTAACTGATTAGTAAGCAATGGAGTGATTGCAGAATGGGTGTGACATGCACATTCTGCCTAATGCCAGATGGTAGCCAGGCTGCAGCATTCTATACCAACTGGAGTTTCCAAGTTGATTTTAAGGGCAGACCCATATAGAGGGCATTACAACAGTCTAGCTTCAAGGTAACCAAGCATGGATCCATCTGGTCATATCAGCTGAACCAAGGTACGAGGTCATCTTATGGGCTAAATGAAGCTGGAAGAATGCTTTTAACAGCAGCATTGTCTTGCTTCTCCACCAATAGTGCTGGATCCCATATAACTCCTGTAAGCTCTTAACTGAGTCGGAGGTGTCAGCTGGATCCCATCAAAAGTGGGAAGCACGGTATCCTTCAAGACCTCAGCCTTCCCAACTAACACTACCTCTGTCTTACTAGGATTTAGTTGCATTTTTTTCACCCTTTGCCATTTAACCAAAGCAGTAAAGCACAGGTTCAGGACCTCTACAGCATTACTGGGCAATATGAATAAATTTTAAGGTGGATGTACGCAAAGAATTGTTGTCATCTTTATTTCCTCCTAATTATAGTTCTAATAGGGAAAAAATATTCAAAATCTACTAAAGGATGCTAATCCTAATATTACAGCAATAGTGGCCACGTTTCTTGCCGAAGTAGTCAAAGATAGATCTATTCTAGTAAAGGATTCATATTGCTTATAATGTCTTATATATCCATGCCATGTTATTGTACATCTATGTATCTTACTGCTATGCCATTAAAGATATTTGACTTTGACTTATTAAGGTGGATGTCATGAGCATATTGATGACAGCACACTTCAAAAGCATGGGGAACAGGAGGACTGAGCCTTGGAGAACCCCACAAAGCAAGTCCCATACTGATGATAGCTGGTCTTCAATAGCAACCTGAGTCCAGCCTATAACAAACTAATATGAAATCGATCCAAAGCACATACTTTCTGTCACCAAACATCCCAACAAGACAATATGCACACTGTCTAAGGTTGGTGATAAATCCAGTAAGAGCAACAAAGTAGTACAGTCCTCATCTACATTTGGAGAGAGATTAATTACATGGGACATAAGTTCTGTTTCCATCCCATACGCAGCTTGAAGCCAGACTGAAATGGGTCTAGAGTAGTCATATTGAGACAGATACACCTCATCATTTTCTTCCAACCAGGTGTCTATCACAAAAGCCAGACCAATGTCTCTTCTGCCAGGAGCTCAGATATTAATGCAGTTTCTGGTATGGTGTTGCACTCTACTTGCAAAGAAGTGGAAGAAAAAGATGCCCTTGCACCCACATCTCTCGGGATGGGATGGAGATAAACAGCAAGCTCTGTTATGGTCCCCGCCCCCCCATAGCAAATCTAAATAAAATCTTCCAATTTCATAGCAAGCCATGCTTTGTTATCACATATGAACTAGTAAAAGAGTAAACTATATTTCATAGTTCAGACTAAAAGTGACATACTACACTGTCACAGTAGTGGACATAATTCATTCTTTGGCTGCAAACAAGGACAGAAGGAAGGGGAAAAGTGCATGTCCAAGGAGTCCCCCCAGGCTCATTCACACAGTATAAATCATGGTTTGCTACTACCTCTGCATGATGGCATTGTGTAATTTACTAAAATAAGGGGGGAAATGAATGTCTGGAGAACACATTCCACAACTATGACATTTTGATTAAAAATTGCTTTCAAACAGTTCAAGCCTATTGCATACAAAGAGGTAAAGTTGTAACTATCATTTCAAGTAACATGAAAGCTTTCCGTTGCCAGTCATGTGTTGCACTTTCCAGTTCCACATCTCCAAATTGAGCTAAATTTAGGAAGTTAATGTAACACAGGGCATAAGAATGGGTGTTGTGCTCCCTGAAAGATCAATGACTTGCTGCGCCTACAAGATACTAAGATACTACTAAGAATTATTAATTTAAAATGAGGATAAACATATTACTTTAATTTTTAAATTTTCCTTTGGATAAAATAAAATAATTTTTCAATGCTGGCTTTAAAATCCTTAGTAGTTATTCAGAAGATCCACTGTAAAATATTAAGTATTTTGAGCATGTTTACTAGGAAGCATTTCTATTCAAGAATAAACAGAAGAACTATACAAGAAGGACCTCAATGACCTTGACAACCATGACCGCGTAATCAGTGACCTTGAGCCAGACATCCTGGAATCCGAAGTCAAATGGGCCTTAGAAAGCATTACTAACAAAAAAGCTAGTGGAGGTGATGGTATCCCAGCTGAGCTATTCAAAGTCTTAGAAGATGATGCTGTTAAAATGCTGCACTCAATTCACCAGCAAATTTGGAAAACGCAACGGTGGCCACAGGATTGGAAAAGGTCAGTTTACATTCCAATCCCAAAGAAGGGCAATGCCAAGGAATGTTCAAACTATCGCACAATTGCACTCATTTCACACGCTAGCAAGTTCATGCTCAAGATCCTACAAGGTAGGCTTCAGCAGTACATGGATAGAGAACTGCCAGAAGTACAAGCTAGGTTTTGAAGAGGTAGAGGAGCTAGAGATCAAATTGCCAACATTCGCTGGATTATGAAGAAAGCAAGAGCGTACCAGAAAAACATCTACTGTCGCTTCATTGACTACACTAAAGCCTTTGATTGTGGAGATCACAACAAACTATGGCAAGTCCTTAAAGAGATGGGAGTACCAGACCACCTCACATGTCTCTTGAGAAACCTATATAAGGGTCAAGAAGCGACAGTTAGAACTGGATATGGAACAACTGATTGGTTTAGCATACAAAAAGGAGTACAATATACAATGTATATTGTCCTCTTACTTATTTAATTTATATGCAGAGTACATGAGCCGCTTCGGCGGGAGGGCGGGGTAAAAGTCTAATAAATAAATAAAATCATACAAAATGCCAGCCTGGATGATTCAGAAGCCGGAATTAAGATTGCTGGGAAAAACATCAACAACCTCAGATATGCAGACGATACCACTCTATTGGCAGAAAGTGAAGAGGACCTAAAGAGCCTCTTGCTCAGGGTAAAAGAGGAGAGCGCAAAAGTTGTCTTGAAACTCAACATCAAAAAAACTAAGATCATGGCATCCGGACCCATCACTCCTTGGCAAATAGAAGAAGAAGTCGTGGAAGCTGTGACAGACTTCACGTTCCTAGGATCCAAGATCACTACAGATGGTGACTGCAGCCATGAAATTAAAAGACACCTGCTCCTTGGGAGGAAAGCAATGGCAAACCTTGACAGCATAATAAAAAGTAGAGACATCACCCTGCCAACAAAAGTCCGTATGGTCAAAGCAATGGTATTCCCAGTAGTACTGTATGGCTGCAAGAGTTGGATTATAAGGAAAGCTGAGCACCGAAGAATAGATTCTTTTGAATTATAGTGCTGGAGAAGACTCTTGAGAGTCCCCTGGACTGCAAGAAGATCAAATCAGTCAATCCTAAAAGAAATCAGCCCTGACTGTTCCCTGGAAGGCCAGATACTGAAGCTGAAGCTCAAATACTTTTACCACCAAATGAGAAGGGAGCACTCACTGGAGAAGACCCTGATGCTGGGAAAGATTGAAGGTCAAAGAAGAAGGGGACAGCAAAGGATGAGATGGTTAGACAGTGTTATCAAGGAAATGAACATGAAATTAAGCAAACTCCGGCGCACGATGGAAGACAGGAGGGCCTGGCGTGATGTGGTCCCTGGGGTCGCGAAGAGTCAGACTCAACTGTGTGACTGAACAACAACATGTCTATTCAAAGATGCACATTGAATCCTACCAGACTATTTTGTTTTAAAGTTGCCTGTTTTGTATTATGATACCATTCAGAATTTGCTCACCAACATCCTTATAGAGTAAATGATATGTAATGCTTAAGACTGTAGTAGATTTTAGTACTGTATGAAAGCTTGCTTTCTAAGGGTTGGATACAGAATATATTGGCAATTGGCACCTATTCCCCTTTCTTGCTTCAGACCTCCCTCAGGCTCCCCCATCTACTAGAAGAGGCATTTTGTGGACATTTGTGGACTGCAATGACAAGGGAAGGCAGGAATATTCCATTTTGCTAATACAAACTTAGACTGTATCCAACCATAAGCAACTTTCCATAAGGTTATGTTAAAAAATGAGGTATTTACCTTGTTGAGTTTTCCAAGAGATGATATAAGATCTGCCCACTCACTTGAAGATTCAAAGTTCCTCAAAGCTTTGTCAATTGCTGAGGAATAATTTCTGTATCTATAATCACCAAGCAGCTCCTGCTCTTCAGGATCCATTTTAGATTTTCATAGCCAAAGCTGTCTGGTAAGTTAAAAAAAACAAACAGTGAAACAAAACACAATGGCCTTTGATATACTGAACTCATTCTTTGCCAAGTATACGCGCAAATATTCCTAATGAGAGACAATAAATGTAGAGTCAATATTTAGAAATATTAACACTTTATATATCACACTGAAAGAAGTTAGCTTCACAAAGAAGCTGGAACAACACAGCTTCGAAGCTGTAGCTCAGTCCAAACAATGCTTTGGTTTGCAAGACTCATCCATTGTTCTATGGAGAACCTTGAAGTTATCAGGTTCATTCATAAATTATTTTACTGAAAATGCTCAAAGATAGAAGTATTGTTCGCTTAAGCTAAAATGCTTTACTTTCCTGCATAAACGTTAGTTTTCCAGCTAAGTAATGACTAAAGCCTAAAAATGTATAAACTGTGTACTGACATTAAAGAAATATATTTTCCTCTACACATATGCAGAGTTGTACTATTACAAGTTTACAACAAGATATGTCATACTTTATATACAGAAACAAAACAGGCAGCTACACCACACAAATTATACTGCATCTTACTGTCTAAACCCAAACAGTAGCAATGGAACGACATCCATATAAATATTTGGTAAGCCTGTCATTAGCACCTAAGGTCAGAAACCTTCAATATTAAATGGCATAAATTTTAGTGAATTAAATTAGAACAGTGAGATGGGTGTGTGTGGCTGAAGTTAAGCAACTGAAGTGATGAGGTCATTAGCTAATAGTTTTGTAAACTGTGTTCATATGAAAGATAATTCTCTTAAGTATTTTCATCCAGTCTAATGAAATAAAAGCAAAACCCTTTCCCCCATTTAATAGCGAAAGTTTCTGACCTTAGGCACTAATGACAGGCTAACCAGATGTTTATACGGATATTGTTCCATCACTACAGATTAGTTGTAGACAGTAAGACGCAACATTAATGTGTGTGCTGTGGTTTCCTATTTTGTTTCTGTATATAAAACATGAGTTGCAGAACTGCAGTACTACATGTGTGTGGATAAAAATATTTTTAATGTCTCTAGTAAACATATTATCTGAGGAAGTGTGCCTGCACTTTTGTTGGGCTTAAAGGTGCCACTGAACTCAAAATTTGTTCTACTGCTTCAAATCAACATGGCTGTCCACCTGGATCTAGTAAACATGTTTAGGGTTGTAGCCTCAGCCACCTAACTGCCATGAAGCTGAAGTGAACTGGATTCATAAGGCCACATGGAAGCAAATGCTAAACATTTTTGTCAGGTTTTAGCAACCAAATTAATTATTAACTCTTAACAAAAGCACAACCAAATGTAAACAGGAGGAGTTGCTTTCCTGTGTTTACACAGTAACAAACTGTTTAGTAGAGGAATTCAAATGAGCAGTAATTGACGCCTCCACAATTTTAGCCAAAAATACAGAAATACCTATCCCAGGAGGAAAAAACATGGGGCTTTTGTCAAACACCTTAATACTCTGAGTGGTGGCAGGAACTGTAGTCTTACAGACCTTGTCTGAATCATTTGTCTTGATTTTAATGTAGGCCTATTGTTTACTGAGTTTAGAGATAATATTTTAAGCAGTGATTTGTATAACTGTAATTTACTAATAGCCTCAGCATACATTAAAATACATTGGTAAGACCAGGGAAAAGTCAGTTATTATTCCAAACTGACTTGCTCAAAGTACTAATCTATTAAGTGGCCTACAGAACATATAAAGTACATTACATATTTTGATCAATGAAGCTGATAACAATTAAATGGCTTAAGGTCAAACAAAGGGTGCCCAGAGTGCAGCCTCAAAGACTACAATCAGTATCTAAGCCAAGACAAATTATGCATGCCCAACAGGGCCCTTGACTTTCATTTCTTAAGTAATAGTTGAAGAGCCAGGGTTGTGTAGTGGTTAGAGACCCAGGTTCAAATCTCCACTCTGCTGTGGATATGCCCTGGGTGACCTTGCCAGTCACCCACTCAGTCTAACTTACCTCATAGGGTTGTTGTGAGGATAAAATGGAGGCGAGGAGAATGATAGGAGCCACTTTGGGCCCCATTAGGAAAAAAAGATGGGTATAAACAAAGTAAGTAAATTAATAAACAGCAACCACTTTAAGAAAAGCCCTTAAAATGAAGAGCATTCTCAAAAGCAGATTGCAATGTAGCTTGGAAATTTGCTGTTGGAAAAGACAAAAATACCTACTGGGGCAGTTCCAAGCCCTTGGCTACTTTTAAGGCAGCTCTCTGGATACCTGTCTTGCTATGCAGCAGTCCCATTGTAAGAGTCTGCTCTGAAATTTGTATTATACATTTCTAAACAGTTTTGCACTCCTTATTTACTGAATTCTCAGTCCCATATGGTACTAGGCTGTGTGGTGAGTTAGCTGTGGCCACCAGATAGGCTTCAGAGCTAAGTGGATATTTGAACCTGTGCACCACCAACATTCAAGCCAAACACCTTGGTCACACTGACGCAACAAAATCTACTTTGCCCTACTACAACCGTTTTAAAAGGGACAGACCAACACACAGCCCACTAGATGTATGGTGCTCTTAGGGTCTGTTACCTAATTGTGGCACCTAATTGAGAAGCACAAGGGAATAAATACAAAGGAAAAAAATAAAACACAAGCATAATAAAACAAAATGCATTTTAAAAAGGTAGCCAATATTTGTTTTTAAATTACAACAGTCAAAACTTGTTTGCCTTTTTAAGGTGCTATAAGAACCCTGATGAGTTTCAACACGACAACCCCCCCCCCCCTCACTGCAGTCCGCGGCAGTGATGCATTGCCCTGCAGAAGACAAACCAGTTCTAGAGTTCGAAAACAGCCGTTTCCTCGGTTCACCTAAGCACGGCTGCCTCAAATTCAGCTGCGCTATACAGGCGTGCCCTGGTGTCCGTGTGTGAATAAGAGAAACAGCGTACTGATTAGGCAGGAACAGCCTCCTGACCTCTCCCTTCTTTGCTTCTGACAGGCTCCTGCCCCTCCGTGGCAAACACCACCCCAACAGCTGGGAAACAGCAGTGTCAACATAACAGCTGGTCTAACACCAGCAGCCCCCGGGGAGACCTGGAGAATCCCAAAAACTGTGAAAAACACGCACAAAATACACAGACAGGGAGCGGGGGAGGCAGTACCTCCCCCGCCCACCCTCTTGCCGCCACAGGTGCAATTTGGGATAACGGGCAAGATACCGCATGCATAATAAATGGAGGAGGAAGGTGTGGGGAGGTTGCTCCTCCAGTTTGAATACATCAGAAGGGAAGAAGAAGCTTAAGCCCAGTAGACAGTGCTAACACTAGCCTCATTAACGAGGAAGGGGGCTCCCCTTCGCAAACCCCGTCACAGCCCCTCTGTACCACCACCCAGGAAGAGACAAGGGAGGATATAAACAAGTTGGAGACACTGTTTTGCCGAGTAGACTTTCTCAGTGCTGCAACAGCTTCTCCCCTACTCACCATCTGAAGAAGAAGGTACAGACGAAATGTCCCGCTGATTCGGACGGCAATGCCTCAGCTATCCTCGCCTCTGTTGCTCCCGCAGCGGCGACGTGTACCGAACAGAGGTGAGGGGTGGGGCGGAAGCAGGGGACTAGGCGGGAGGGAGCAGGCCAGAGAGCGGAGAATGGAACGCCCCGTCGCTATGGCGACCAGGCCCGGAGACGGTGCGGCACTTCTTCTGCCTTTCAGATTGGGCCGGTACCACTGAGGAGTGTGTCGACAGTTGGAAAAGCAAAAGAATATGGACAAGACAATATGGTCTCTCCCCAAAGTTTTCCAGCCCCAACCCTTTTATGATCGTTGATCTGCTCGGAGACAAAGAAAATGCTTCCCCATGTGCATTAAAGATGGTACATTCCAGAGACTCGGGTGTGGGGACGTATCTCTACTTCCATCTGCTGGCCGAAGCAGCGTCTGAAGAGCAAGGAGAGGAATTGTTCTGCAGCAGCTGCTTTAAGCCCTAGGAACAAACCGCTGCAGTAAAATTGAATTGTTATCCTGAATAATGAAATGTGTGTGTTAAGTGCCGTCAAATCTCTTCCGAGTTCCGACTTATGGCTACCCTATGAGTTAATGCCCTCCAAAACGCCGTATCGTTAGCAGCGACTCTTGTCTTCTCGTAATGTGACCAAAGTACGATTGAACTGGTATGAGCGTTTATTTGGATTGGCATGAAAGTTGTTTGGTAATATTTTTTTAAATAATGATTTCAGAAATAAGAATTGTTGAGAAACATTACTTAACCTGCACTACTGTCATTAGTAGTCCCAGTATGCATGAGTCAAAATCATAAAGAATAAAAATAATACTAGTTAATTGGAATAATTGAATGGTGAGAGGAGAATATGAAGTGATTCATTGCTAGGTCTGGAATTGCAAAGCAGTTCCAGAACTGAATGGAGTCTGGAACCAAGAGCAGACTCCCTCCTCCTTTGTCATTTAATTACATTAGGATTCAAGTGAGGGGGGGGCGAAAGATACCTGGACAGTCCTGCTACAAATGTGATCCACCTTTTTGAGTCATGGGTTTGAGTAACGATTTTTTAAAATTCTGGTGTTTGAATTTATCCAGGATTGCATCAGGATGGGTATTAGGAAAAGTCTAGTGTACACACACACACAAAACCTTTATTGGCATGAAAGCACAAAACATCATGGAAATAAGGGAAAATACTAAGATGCATCAGTCACTTACACTTGGCTATAAGTCCAGTATAGATATGTGAACAACATCAAAATACATAGTCAAATTGCCCTGACCTGGATAGCCTAGGCAAACCTGATCTGGTCAGATCTTGGAAGCTAAGCAGGGTTGACTCTGGCAACTTGGATGGGAAGAACTCTTTGAAATACTAGAGGTGGTGGGAGGCAGGGATAGGCTTTATTCAGCCACCTCACTGAATATCCTCCAGGCCCCCCAGTAGGGGTCAGTCACCAGAGGTCACCATGACTTTCAGGTGCACACACACATGCACATAGTCATCATCATCATCAAGTTTATTGTATTAGCCATTGGCCATAACAAAACAAAAATACATACACACCCATGTACATTACATTAAGACATCCAACATGCACATAGAAAACACCAACCCCCCAAAACATAGGCAAATTGTTTATATAGTTTTAATATTTAATAGATGCAGGCCATAAACGTCAATTGTTTAAATAGAGATCTATAAAATTTTGGGATACAATTATCTGAATGGGCTATTTCACAAATTTTAGGCCACCCATTGCAGTTCTATTTAACCAGCCCACTTCAACCTATTATTTCCATGCACCCAGTACTCCTGACGAATGGTCAGATTTTTTAGTCGAGACAGAAATGCTGAGTCTTGAAGGAGGACTGTGGCAGAATTATAAGCAAGACTGACATGTCTGTATAGCAGCCTGAATTAACTTGTGCCTCTCTGTTTGGTTCTCTCCCCCATAAAGCTTTGCATGATTAGCTACTGTTATATGCCTTTTGTTCAGGCCTGACAATGCACTCTGTTCTGAAAATGCACTCTGCTCTGAAAGAACAGCTTTTTAAATTCTGAGTTTCAACCTCAAAGCTAAACAATCTTATGTGGCTCCAGAATCCTGCCTTGACATGGGGAGCGTGTTGCATATTTATAACCCAATAGATTATGCATTGACTCTGAGCAGAGAGGGAGGAATTTTACATTACCCTTTTTAACCCGTTTTGAAGCCATTTTTGATCCGTTGTGGAGTAAACTGGTATAGGGCTGCCATTTCACACATGGCTTTCCCCTTCCGGTAAAGAGCTGGATCTGAAGCGGTTTGCCATTTCAGATTGCACCGCTTTTTCCTGCTTTTCCCCCGCCGTTTTTCGCCCGCGTGGGCGATCTCCGGCTTTTTTAAAACGTTTGCTTTAAAGCACTGTAGCGCTATAGTGCTATAACACAACACTCCAGTCATTCCAGTGCAGTTGATATAGTGCTGTTGCGTTATATCGTTATACCATTATAGTGCTATTCGCTCTAAAACGGATGTTCAAAAAAAAAAAAAGCAGCTGGAGATCGCCCGCGCGGGCGAAAAAAGGCAGGAAAAAGCGTATCGGAACCGGGAGAAGAAACTGAAGACTACTTGAAAGCGGTTGACAGGTAAAACGCTTCAGCCCCGTTTCCTAAACAGGACAGTAGCGTTTGTGTGTGAAATTACAAATATATTCCAGTAGGGAACCGGTTCTAAAATGGTTCTTTCTGAAATGACAGACCAGAAACCGTTTGGGAAACATTCCTCTTCCAGATTATATCGTCTGTCTGAAATGCCTCTTTATCTGGTCAGTAAGGGGAAGGATTTGAGTTTCTTCAGGCCCATCCCATTTCTTAATTGACAGCTACTCTGGATTTTTCTTCTATATAATGTCAGTGTCAGCTGTTGTTTGGGGCTCCTTGCCAAATTACCCCCCCCATGTGGGTGATTTGCAGGGAAGTCAGAATGCCTGTTCCTAAATAGATATAAGTGCACTCTTTGTTTATAAGTATTGGATTTTATGTCTTCTAATATGATGAATACTGAAATTGCTACTTGCTTGTAACTTTTTGCATTATGGTTTAATCTTTCAATAAATAAAATGTACTTGGGGATAGTTGTCTCTCTTTCCCCCCCAAAACTATAGAGTCCCTGCCTCTCCCTTATCAAGCTGGGTGGAGTTGGGAGTCCTACACTCCTATTTTATTTAAAAATAGCACAGCTGTGGCAGCTTAACTGCAGGTTACAAATCTTACAAAGGTGAACAGGCATGTCCCACTTTGTAGCCCAGTGGCAGGACTGTCCCCTGGGGCCTGGGCTATGCCCTGACAGTCCTGCTCCAGAGGTCTGCTGTGAAGCGCAAGGTTCTGCCTTGTGCTCTGTAGACCTTTGCCTTGACCATCGCCACTGCTTCCAGCGAAAGGCTACGTCCTCCATGAGGAAAAAGAGTTGGCCATTAACAGCAATCATCTTGCCAGTGAGGCGAGTGAATGCTTCTTGGCCCTCCACATAGCCCTTTCAACCTCTTGAAGGGTGGCCCACCTTGATGTCTCACCCATGGCAGCCCAAGTGCAGGGAGCCTTTCTTGGAGGAGCCTCCTGCTTTCCCTCCACTTCTGCCTGCAGAGAGGGAGTGGGCCTCTTCTTCCTCCTGCTGGCTGCCACTCTTTTCTCCAGTGGCAAAATACTGGGGTGCACCCTTTGCAGGTGCCTGTGGAGGACACAGGAGGACAAGTGTTGGGGGTTTGCGCCCCTCCGTACATGGGTGTAGCACACCTGGCACTCTGCTGCACAGAGGTCACTGGTGCAGAAATGTTTCCAAACTATGGGTTCCCCCCCCCTCTGAACAGGGCCGGCCCCAGGTATTTTTGCATGCTAGGAGAAGACACCTTCTGGCGCCCCCCCCCCGTGCACCCACCAATTTCTAGCAACCCCCCCTTCAAGCTCCCTCACAGCCACCCGGGACCATCCCTCCCTCCCTCAGAGCTGCCCCTCCCTCCCAGCAGCCACTTCCTCCCACCACCAACCAAACCCCCCCCCCGGTGAAGCTCGCGCCACTCCCAGGGGAGCAGGAGCCCTACCACCGCCTGTCGAGCTGGCTTTCTCCAGCTACGCAGAGATGCTGGCCACCCTCCTGGCGTTCATGATCGCCACCGGCCGGGAGGAGCCCTGAGTGAGAGAGCGGAAACCAACTCTCTGCCTGCCCACAGCACCCTGTCGCCACCAAAAACCCTGAGGTTGCAACACACCCGCCCAGCGAGAGCACGCACGCCCTGCCGCTGCCTCCTCCCATCTCTTCCTGCCGCGAGTTGAGGGGCGCCAGCTGCGGCGAAGGGATGGAGACAGTGCTGTGGGGCTTGCGCCATGATGAAGGCAGCCAGGCCGGGCCAGGGGAGAACTGTGCTGCTGCCCCCTGCCAAAAGCCCTGTGTCGCCCTGACCCCAGCTGCCGCCGCTGCCTCTTTCAGAGGCGGTG